TTCCTGTGTTGTGGCTCGTTTTTCTTGTGGGTAAATACCAAGTATAGGAATTGCTGGGTTGTATGGTATTTCTATTTTCAATCTTCTGAGGAAGCTACATATTGCTTTCCAGAGAGGTTAGACCAGTTTGCAGTCCCACCAGCAATGTAGGAGTGTCCCAGTCTCTCCACATCCCCTCCAGTATTTATTGTCCTCAACTTTTTTGATCTTTGCTGTTATTGCTGATGTGAGATGATATCTCATTATTGTTTTGATTTCCATCTCTCTAATGGCTAGTGATCATGAACATTTCTTTATATGTTTGTTGGCTGCCCGGATCTCCTCCCTGGTGAAGTGTCTGTTCATATCCTGTGCCCATTTCTTGATTGGGTTATTTGTCTTATTTTTGTAGATGTGTAGTATTTTCCTATGTATTTTAGAAATGAGTCCCCTATCCGATATGTCATTGCAAAAGATTTTTCCCAGTCTGTGGGTTCCCTTTTTATTCTTTTGGTGAATTCTTTTGATGCCCACATGTTTTTAATTTTTAATATGTCCCACTCATCTATTTTGTCTATTTTTGTTTGTGTAATTTTCAAAATGTGTGGCAGTCTGTATATGCCCTGAATTAACGCCTTCACGTTTGTCCCTATTTTTTCATTGATGTTCTTCTTAATTTTGGGATTCACATTCAGATCTTTAGTCCATGTTGAGTTCATTTTTGTATAGTACGTGAGGCAATGGTCTTGTCTCAGTCTTTTACATATCGCTTTCCAGTTCTGCCAGCACCATTTGTTAAAGAGACTGTCTCTTCCCCATAAAATGTGCCTAGGCACTTTGTCGAAAATCATTTGGCTGTAAGTGGTTGGGTTAATATCTGGATTCTGTTCCATTGATCAGTGTCTCTTTCATTGTACCAGTACCAGGCTGTTTTGACCACTGTAGCCATGTAGTAATGTTTGAAATCGGGCAGTGAGAGACCTCCAACCTTGTTTTTCCTTTTAAGCAATGCTTTGCTTATCCTGGGTCTCTTTCTTTTCCATATAAAATTAGGAATTGTCCTTTCCATCTCTTTGAAGAATGTTGTTGGAATCTGGATTGGGATTGCATTGTATGTGTTAATTGCTCCGGGTAGTATTGACATTTTCACGATGTTGAGTCTTCCTATCCAGGAACATGGTATGTTCTTCCACTTCTGTAGGTCACTTTTGGTTTCTTGTAGTAGTGCTTTGTAATTTTCTTTGTATAACTCCTTTGTTTCTCTGGTTATGTTTATTCCTAAGTATTTCATCCTTTGCGTGGCTATTGTAAATGGTATTGCTTTCCTAATGTTCTTTTCATCGCTGTTGCTGTTGCTATAGAGAATTCCAATTGATTTTTGTATGTTGATCTTATACCCTGCCACTTTGCTGAATCTTTCGATGAGGTTTAATAGTTTGTTTTTTTTTACTGATCATATCGTCTGTAAATAAGGAGAGTTTTACTTCCTCTTTGCCAATTTGGATGCCTTTAATTTCTTTATCGTGCTGTATAGGTCTGGCTAAAACTTCCAGCACAATATTGAATAGGAGTGGTGATAAAGGACATCCTTGTCTGGTTCCTGTTTGCAGGAGGAAGGCTTTCAGTTTCTCTCCATTGAGCTTGATGTTGGCTCTGTGTTTTGTATATATGCTCTTGATTATGTTCAGGAATTTTCCTTTAATTCCTACTTTTTTGAGGATTTTTATCAGGAATGGATGTTGAATTTTGTCAAATGCCTTTTTGCATCAATTGCTATGGGTCGGAACTAACTCAACGACACTAAATAATAATTATCAATAGATATGAATTTATTGCTGTCTTTTTTTTTGTGGTGCTGCTGGATTCTTTGTTCTGCATAATTTTCTGTGCTGTTTCATTTTGTTTGGGACTCTCTTTTAATTTTAATTTTTGTTGTGTTAAGTTTTACTAAATCTTTCTGATTTTCCTCTTTTTTAATATTGATGTAGAGGTATATATTTTTTTCTTTGAGATTACACTATAATTTATTAATTATTTTCCCTGCTTAAAACAGTCTGTTTCAGTTTCAAGTCTACTTGACTTCCTTGCCATTTGGAAGTTCTGTATCTACACTATTCCCTGTTTTTGCTTTGTAGTTGATTTCATTATATGTGGATATCTTTTGTTGCCTATTTCAGTAATATAGATTTGTTTTACTTTAAATACTTATGGTGTGGGGCTGTAGGATAAATATTGGACCTCAAAGTTGGTTTGAACCACAAGGCACTCAACAACAGCATGTCTGGATTAAGTTCTGGGTGGTATTGTCAGGTTGTCTTAGGTTATTTTCTGCTGTTGTTGGGTTTCAAGTCCAAAGAACACCATTTTTTGTAAGATTGGTCTGAATTAAGAATTCCTTGTAAATTACTTTGAAATTGCTGTTTACCATAAAATGTCCTAATTTCACCGTTTTATTTGAACGACAGCTTTTCTGAATGTATAATTCTTGTTTGGCGATTATTTTCTTTTAGAGTTTTGTATATGTCACCCTATTGTCGTCCTGCCTGCCTGATTTTTGCTAAGAAATCAGAGCTTAGTCTTATTTGCTCTGATTTTTTGGTAGCTTTTTTTTTTTCTGAGCTGCTGTCAGGATGTTTTCCTTGTCTTTAATTTTATAAAGTTTGATTATGATATGTGTTGGTGATTTCCTTTTGGGGGTCTATCCTTACTGGGGTTTGTTCAGCTTCTTGAATACTTATTTTTCATTATATTATGGAAGTTTTCTTCCAACAACTTTTTGACAGTTTTCTCTGTGCTTTTTTTTTCCTCCCTGAGTTTTTATTGTGAATTATGTGATAGTTTACATGGGAGAACACCAGTTTTACATTCATCCTATTGTATTCAGTTTCATTGCAGTCCCATGTATGTATCATCAAACAGCCAAAAACAACCCCGCAAACCTGTCCACCGGCCATCAGCACAGAGCCCCTCTCCCTCCCTGAGTCCAGAGTCCTCATTTGCTCCATCTCTATATGTCATTATCTCTGCCTCCACCTTTGGCATCAGTACTTCTCTGGGTATGGTCCCACACTCTGCTTTTCTCACTTGATGGTCCCAGGGACCACTGCTCTTGGACTTCAGAATCAACCACTTCCCCTCCTTTTGTTACAAAACATCTACCTTTACATTTCTGACCCTCACAGTCAGTCCTGATAGCTGGTATTCACTCTTGTACCATAAGAGTCTTATCCCTATCTCCTTTTATGAGCCCTGTCCCAACAGATTGCAAACCATTCCACAGAGATTCTATTACCCCATACCCTCTGGAACTAGGTTCCCTCCTGAAAACTTGTAAGCCAGTCACT